GAAACTTTGTCGTGTCGGACGGGGATCGTCAAGTCGACACGTCCTAGCTTTTCGTATTTTTATTGTGTTTGCAAGTCTTTCCCCGGGGTTTATGATAATAAAATCTATCTTTTTAATTTACGCTTCTCTTTTCTTGCTTTTCTTTATTTTTCCAAACATCACGGTTTTCAAACAGACGTTCGGGGGCGAAATTCGAAAATGGCCCGACCTTTTTATCGTAGCTTGAAACTAAGTACGTATGGACAAGTTTGTTCGATTAACCGCTTTGAATGAGAATAGAACTCCGTTGATCGTAATCATTTGTTAACAAAAATCCAGCGAAAAGACTTTTTAGACTTGAAAGTGCTTACTTTGAATTCACGAGTCATCTTAAGTACAAAAGATTTCGACACCAAGATTCTATATAAAAGATATTTGATTTCACAAAGGTCGTCACGTTTACAAAACATTCCAGGAAAGATTATCGTTGGGAAACTCGTCTTACTTGAAAAGGAAAACTTTTTGGCTAACCGACTTTCTTCAGTTTTGCAATTTCGCCCGGGGAAGCTTTCTTAGTGGATTCGACTTGCAACACGGTAGCTCTTTCGCGGAACGTCGGCGCGGAGACCGACTAGTGGCACTGAGGCCGGTATTTGCAGAACGTCGGCGCGGAGGCCGACTAGTGGCATGGAGGCCGGTTTTTGCAGAACGTCGGCGCGGAGGCCGACTAGTGGCACGGAGGCCGGTTTTTGCAGAACGTCGGCGCGGAGGCCGACTAGTGGCACGAAGGCCGGTTTTTGCAGAACGTCGGTGCGGAGACCGACTTGTGGCACGGAGGCCGGTTTTTGCAGAACGTCGGCGCGGAGGCCGACTAGTGGCACGGAGGCCGGTTTTTGCAGAACGTCGGTGCGAGGACCGACTAGTGGCACGGAGGCCGGTTTTTGCAGAACGTCGGTGCGGAGACCGACTTGTGGCGCGGAGGACTATTCGGTGCTACTGAAAGTATTTCTTGAGGTACACCGCATTCCATGGGTATCTTTGGGGCGTACCGTCCAGGCCTTCCAATCTATAGGCCCCATGAGGCAGCACCTGACTTATTTTATAGGGCCCCTCCCACTTCGGTTTTAAGGGGCCGGGGTTGGGCCCCGTTACTCTCTTCAAGACCAAGTCGCCAACTCGATAAGTCCTGGGTTTGAGTTTAGAGTTGACATAGCGCTCGCTCCTTTGCTTGTAAGCCGCATTTTTGAGTTCGGCTTGTGTCCGCAGCTCCTCGACCAGGTCGAGGTTCATGCGTAGATTGTCGTCGTTTTGGTCCTCGGTGAAATTCTCTACTCGGTAGGTAGGCGATCCAAGTTCTACGGGGACCATGGCTTCTGACCCATATGACAGAGAGAACGGGGTTTCTCCAGTCGATGACCTCGGAGTTGTTCGATACGCCCACAGGACACCAGTCAGTTCTTCTGGCCAAGCACCTTTCGCTGCTTCTAGCCGTGTCTTCAGACCGTTCTTGATTAACTTGTTCACCGCTTCGACTTGACCGTTCGTCTGAGGGTGATATGGGGTGGCGAAGTAGTGCTTTATGTTGTGCGACGTGCAGAAGTCTTCCAACTTTTTTCCTTCGAATTGTCTCCCATTGTCGGTAATGATCGAGTTGGGCACACCGAAACGACATACTATCGACTTCCAGACGAAGTCAATCATTTTCTGCTCGGTGATCGTTGCTAATGGCTCTGCTTCTGCCCACTTGGTGAAGTAGTCCACCGCGACAACGGCGAACTTTACCCCTCCTTTCCCCGTGGATAACGGGCCGATCAAGTCGATCCCCCATTTAGAGAACGGCCAAGGACTTACGATCGACTTGAGGGGCTCGGGCACTAGGTTCCTGTTCGGCGCGAATATCTGACATTTGGTGCACCTCCTCACCCAGTCGGCGGCGTCCCGCCTGAGCGTCGGCCAGTAGTATCCTCTCCGAAGGATTTTTTAGGCAAGGGCTTGGCCACCGGAGTGACTCCCACAAATACCATCATGGATCTCCTGTAACACGAACAGTGACTGTTGCTCCGTTAGGCACTTTAGGAGTGGGACCGAGTACCCTCGTTTGTAGAGCGCTCCCCGATCTAAAGTGTATCTGGCCGCTCGTATCCGTAGTGACCTGGCTTCTCGGGGGTCCTGGGGCTGTGTTCCCGATTTTAGGTACTCAATGATTGGGTCCATCCAAGTCGGTATTTTGTCGGTTTCGTCAATTCCGACTTGACCAACCGACGATGTAGACGTGGAAGGTCTTTCTTGACTCCCGACTTGAACGTACTCGACATCTTCCATGTTCGCACTGGAGGCGAGGCGTGAGAGGGCATCTGCTTGTACATTAGACGTCCTTGGGATGTGCTCGATCTTGGCCACAAACTTTCCCATCTGTTGCTTGGTCAATGTCAGGTACGGTACTAGTCGGGGTTCTTTCACCTCGTAAACACCGAGGACTTGGTTAACAAGTAGTTGGGAATCCGAGAAGATGGTAAGGTGGGTGAGGTTCATGGTTTCTGCGAGGCTCAGGCCCGATAGCAGGGCCTCGTACTCGGCCTCATTGTTGGTGGCCGAAAAAAGGAACTGGACAGAGTGGCAGTACACCCGTTGTTCCGGGTCGATCAGAACCACCCCTCCTCCTGCCCGAGTCGCGGTTGACGACCCGTCGACGTACATTACCCACGGCCGTTGGTCTGTCGTTTCTCGGATTGCCGGGGTGAACTCAGCGATGAAGTCGGATAATACTTGGCCCTTGATGGCTGTGCGGGGCTTGTAGTGTATGTCGAACTGCCCCAATTCAACGGCCCATTTGATCATTCGCCCCGAGGTGTCTGGTCTGTGTAGGACTTGCCTCAACGGATGGGCCGTCAAGACGGTGACTGAATGTTCTTGGAAATATGGTCGGAGTTTTCTTGCAGCGATGACAAGAGCGTAAGCCAACTTCTCCATTGGCGGGTATCTGAGCTCGGCGTCGTGTAATGCTTTGCTCACGTAGTAGATCGGGTGTTGACATGTCTCCTCCTCTCTTATGAGTACAGCGCTGACTGCCGAGTTGCTTACGCCGAGGTATAAATACAGCACTTCGTTGGGCTTCGGTTTCTGTAGGACCGGAGGTCGGCTCAGCGTGTCTTTGATATTGTCGAGGGCTTTCTGACACTCGTCGGTCCATTCGAACTTCTTCCCTTTCTTGATTGTGTCAAAGAATGGCTTGCAGCGGTCGGTCGACTTTGAAATGAATCGATTCAGGGCCGCTAGCCTACCAGTTAAACCTTGCACTCCCTTCACCGAGGTGGGGGGTCTGAGGTCGAGTATTGCTTGGATCTTTGTCGGGTTGGCTTCGATCCCCCTTTGGCTAACCATATAGCCCAAGAATTTTCCCGATTTCACCCCGAAGGTGCATTTCTTCGGATTCAACACCATCGAGTAATCGCGTAAAATTTTAAACATTTCATTCAAATGAGTTACATGGTCATCTGCTACAACCGACTTCACTAACATATCATCAACATAGACTTCCATAGTCTGCCCTATCAACCTAGAAAACATCTTGTTAACCAACCGTTGATAGGTGGCCCCTGCGTTCTTCAGTCCAAATGGCATCATCGTATAGCAATACAGCCCCCGATCCGAATAGAACGAGGTGTGCTCCGCTTCCTCCGGGTCCATAGGTATCTGGTTATAGCCCGAGTAGGCATCCATGAAGCTCATGAGTTCGTGGCCCGAGGTCGCATCGACCATGTAGTCTATGTGTGGCAGGGGGTAACTGTCCTTCGGGCAAGCTTTGTTGAGGTCGGAGAAGTCTATACACAGTCGCCACGCGCCGCTGGCTTTCTTGACCAGAACGGGGTTGGATACCCAGGTCGGGTACTTGGTTTCTTTGACGAATTTATTATCAACCAGCTTATTCACCTCCTCCTCGAGGGCCAGTTGTCGGTCGGGGCCGAGTTTCCTCCTCTTCTGAATGACCGGCTTCACCGTTTTGTCGATGTTGAGCCGGTGGCAAGCGACTTTCGGGTCGATCCCCTTCATGTCCTCGTGCTTCCAGGCGAAGACGTCGGCATTTGCTCAAAGGAATTGTATTAACTGAGTTCTGAGTGGTTCGGGCAAGCATGCTCCTATGCGGAGCTGTTTTGGGCAAGTCGGCCCGCCGACGTCAATTATCTCGACCCCTTCCGAGGGTTCAGCTCGGTTCCCCGGCTTCTTCTCCTTAAACTGATCTTGGGGATCAAGGACATCATCTTCCTTGGCTGGCTCCTTCCCTGGTCGCCTTCCTCGGTCCCGGGTTTTGTCTTCTTCGTCACTAGTCGGTGGTCGTTCATCTCCCCCCCGACCTTGATCGTCGCCCGCTTCGACATCAACTTCCTCTATCGTATGGATTTCTCGCGAGGGTATCTCCAGAAACAGCTCCCTGGCCTCTCTTTGCTCCCCGTAATGAGTTCCTTCTCCGTCTGCCGTCGGGAACTTTATCGCATAATGAAATATTGAAACGGCAGCTCGGAGTTTGTACAATGTCGTCCTCCCAATGATCGCATTATATTCGTTGTCAAGGTCCATCACCTTGAAAGTTTCCATGATGACTTTGGATGTCTGTTCGTTCCCTCCGAACCTGATGGGGAGTGTGATTTCCCCTAATGGGAGCGCCACGCTCCCGTTGAAGCCGTGGACGCGGTCATTGCAAGGGCGGACCTCGGCGGGGTCTATCCCGAGCTTGTTGAACGCCTTAAGCATGAGGATGCTCGTGTAGGCCCCGGTGTCCACCATGATCCGGTGGACAGGAATGCCGCAGATGGGGGCCGTGATTATGAGTGCGTCCGAGTGTGGATGATCGAACAGACTTGCGTCCTCCAACGTAAAAGTGATCGGGCAGGTGCGGGCATTGATCGTCTCTCTAAGATCCGAGGTCATGACTTGCTTCCCCGAGTTGTAGGCCTTTCGTGCATAGGCCTTGGCCTGCCTTCTGGATGAAGTCGGTGTATCTCGGTTTGTATTAACTCGGGGAATAGGACTCGACCGTCCCGAGGTCGGAGGGGTCTGGCTGGATCGTGGCTGGGCGTCGGCTTCTCGGCCCCTCTTCCTGTGTTGGTCTTGGGGCGAACCGACGTCCGCTGGTCCGATCACAAAGATTTCCTTATCTCCCTGGGCTCGAAGCCTCTTGAAAGTCGGTGCCCCTTCATCTCCTTCGTCATCGTCGGGGATTTCCTGCATTCTTCGTTTTCCCTTGTTGTCCCCAGCCTTGGTGAACTTCCTCACTTGTGGATTACCGATGAGCTTCATCAGAGCCGACAACAGGCTCAGGCATTCGTCTGTATTGTGACCCGGCGACTTGTGGTAGTCGCAGTAGCGGCCCTTGTCGAGTTGGTTCTCCGGGGTTTTGACGGGTCGAGCGTCGGGGATGATTCCCTTTCCCTTTATTTCCTCGTAAATGGCGGCCGCTCCGACCGAGTAGATAGATCGGTATCCTTCTTTCAGGTCCTCCCGGAATTGTTTCCGAGCTGCTCGCACCTCGGGGTCGTTCGGATCCCCCCACCTCGGGTCCGTGGAGGAGGTCTTCTTGTGCGTGTTGCCAAAAGACTTCTTCCTCTTTTCCGACGTCGGTCTTTGTCCTGGGGATGCGAACGTGAAATCCGGGACCGACATGCTTTCCTCGGCAATTATGTGGTTTTGTGCCCGGACCAAAAATTCCTGGAAGGTACTGGGCTTGTTTTGGCACAACGCCCACCTGAACATCGACTTCGGCTTCAGCCCTGAAATAGCGCTCACCAAGAGTGTTTCAGGATGGCATGGCTCCATGTTTTGCACACGCTCGTTGAAACGGGCAACATACTCCTTCAAGCTCTCGTCGTCCTTCTGGACGATGTTCGTAATCGACTCCTTTGGGATCAAGCAAACTTGCGCTCCGATGAAATGGGAGCGGGACGCCGACCTGAGTTGAACCCAGCGTCGGATAGATTGCGCAGGCAGCGAGTAGTACCACTTCTATGCCTTTGGCCCCAAAGTTAGGGAGAACATGCGGCACCTGAGGGCGTCGGTGGCCCCGTGTAGATCCATCCATGAAGTGTAATGCCCGAGGTGGGCGTCTGGGTCCGATGTTCCGTCGTACAGGCCGATTTGTGGGACTTTTATTTTCCCGGTCAGTGGCTCTAAAGTCAACTCGGGAGAGAGTGGGGAGTCCGTCTCCACGTACACGTGGCCGGTCTCTTGACTGCGTTGATTGGGAGGTGACCTCGCCCTTTGGTTTTGTAAAGTCTCAAGTTCGGCGATTCTCCTCCTTAAGGCCTCCATCTCGGGGTTGTCGTGCCTAGCCGTTCGGCCCCGCACTATCTGGTGCCGGAGGTCGGTTGGGTTTCCCGCCGTTCTGAACAAGGGTCTAGCGACATCGGTTTCCCTCCGGGCATGTCCGGACTCGCTTTCTGCCGTCATTTCTTGCAAATCCTGCTCTTGGGGGTTGACCATCTGGGTTGGTTGTCGCTGGGCGGCGCCGTCCCTCGGTTGGGACGTTGCGTGTGAGCGCGCTTGGTTGTTCACGCCCTGTTGCGGTGGTGCCGCCGGCCTGGCCGGGGTTATGGGCGCCAACGACTGACCTGGCACGGTTCTCGAGGCTCCCGACATTGTTTGAGCCAGTAGTGTTGAGAAGCCTTTCGCAAACTCTGGGTTCTGCATAAGCGTAGCAAGGTCTGGTATTATGGCCGTATTGGCCTTACCAGTTGAAGGGATTGGACCGTGGTTGTCCCCTCCCCTTGTTGTTTGGTCATCTTGTCCTGACTGTGCCATCGTTGTCCGATTTCAGGTCAACGGTTTCAAAGGTAGATGATGGATGCAAAGATTAACCTCAAGATATCTTATGAGGCCCTCCTTCTAGCGCCAAACTGTTGATAAACGGATTTGATCAACTTTTTTATATTTGTATTTTTAGATTAATACCGTAATGAGGCGATTTTATTGAATAACTGGGGATTATCTAAGAAAATATCAAGTCGGTTTTTCGAGAACTGGAGGTCGGTTTTTTATTGTACAATAATGCTAAAACTGGCGATAGCCGAGGTGATTAATGCAGAATTTATGTGTCGGGAAAAAGATCCTCGTATTGCCTTTATTGCTGCTATTTATAGTAACTGGGGGCTCTTCTTTTGAGGAGATTCGGCGGCATTTAATGCGGAATGACGTTTGCGCAGCCTTTTTGTCAGTGGGCCCCCTTCACGCAATGATGTCTCCACATGGGCTTTAAGCAGTCGATGGACAAGCATTAAATGCCGCCTGTCGGCTCTGACGTCGGCCTGCGCCCGAGGTTATTTCGTTCTAGAGGTCGGCTCCCAGACAAGGTCGGCTTTCGCAGGTCGGGTAGCATTTTCTCTGCACTCCTCGGCCAGGCCTCTTTACTTTCTCGTCGTCCACGTGTCGTCCATCCAACGCTTGAGCGGATTTTTAGGTCAACATATATATATATATATATATATATATATATATGTATAAACTCTCATTTTAGTTTTGTCTATACATGATACTTTATCTTTTTTTATTTTCTAACATCTTTATCGCTCTTTTTATCTTTTTTATTATATAATTTTTTATTTACTTTTAAGTTACAAAATGTCGAGTTTTCGTGGTGGTCGTGTTGATGTCGGCGGTATTCCCAAAAACTAAAGCGTAAAAATATAGGCGGCGCATCTTTGAGTAGACTTCCATTGCCGAGGCAAACCGTATACCGGGATGTACCGACTCTACCCAACAATGTTGATCCACAAATGACTGATCGCGTGTTTCACTCTCTTGATGAAACATAAGATACCTATCGAGCAGAGGAGCAGCAGCAGGACGACGACGTGACCCAGCCGCCTGAAGACGATTTTGATTCAATGCATTATGTATGCTCTTACACCCCACTTAGATTACCCAAGTTGTGCAGACGTGATTAACTCCTTAAGTGTCATGGTCGCCTAGACGACGTTTAAGTATATGTCTAAATTATTTGAAGTACTACAAAACCAAACTACCTTCACTGGTAGTACTTACAAGTTTTTTTTTTTTTTTTGTAAAATTACTGTTAACAAAATTTAATCGTTAAGAAGTGTCAAAATGAGGTAAGAAATGCATAAATGCTATGAAGCTGATAGAGACATGGTACTGCAGATACTTCCTTCATTAATTTTCTTGCTGCAACAGTGGCAGGCTCGTACACATATATTGCTAACTTCCAAATCCTACTAGGTTAAAACAAATCACCTATTCTTATCTAAAAGGGAAAATGCCAAATGGTACAAGAAAGGTAAAACGGCTCTCTCTCTTCCTCACAGCTGCATGCTTGCCTTCATGCACACGTCAGAATATGATCCAATGGTTGTGAGCTCTCTATTGGTTTGATTATGATCTGAGGGCTGAGATGAATGCATGGAGGATGGAGCTTGTACCTTCTCTTTATGCTTGAGGGCTAGGATTGAAGCTGATGTGTGAAATTGATTTCCAACATTCCCCCTCAATTCGAAACCAAGTTTCTGAAAAAAATTTAGTTTGTCTCTTAACCTGGTGAAGAATTGCATGCTCAATGGTTTAGTGAAAATATCTGCCACCTGATCAATGGAAGGAACATGTTGAACTTGTACACTTCCACATGATATCTGTTGTCTAACAAAGTGAATGTCAATCTCAATGTGCTTTGTCCTAGCATGTTGCACAGGATTAGAAGCCATTGCAATTGTGCTCATATTATCAACCCAAAAACAAGCAACCTTCTTAAGAGGAATGTTTAACTCTTTCATTAATGATTGAAGCCACATAATCTCTGTTGTAAGATGAGCAAGACTTCTATATTCTGAATCAGTAGAAGATCTTGATACACTGTTTTGCTTTTTGGATTTCCATGAAACCAGATTCTCACCTAGAAATACACAAAATCCAGTGGTTGATTTTTTGTCATCCAAGTCACTTGCCTAGTCTGAATCAAAGAAACCTATGACACTGAGATGACTTGACTTGTTAATTTGAAGACCAAGATTTAAATTAAGTATCCTTTTTACTGCCTTTCAATGATCATCAAGAGGAGCTGAAATAAACTGACTAACTTTATTTACACTGAAAGTAATTTCAAGTCTTGTGATTGTCACATACTGAAGGCCTCCAACAATGCTTCTGTAAAGAGTGGTGTGAGCATTAGGAGTACCTTTTGACTTGGATAAATGCAGTGAGGAGATCATAGGAGTTGGTGTTCCTTTGGCACCTGTCATGTTGGCTCTATTGAGAAGCTCCTTGATATAATTTCCTTGATTCAAATGCAAGCCTGAAGATGTTCTTGTGACTTCAATGCCAAGGAAGTGTTGTATTGGTCCAAGATCTTTTAGAGAGAAAAACTTGTTGAGATGTTTGATCACGATATTTATCAACCTCTGAATTCCCAGTAATGATAATATCAGACAAGAAGATAGGTGCAAGCATGAGGTTGAAGTTTTAAGAACACGGAGTTGTCTGATTTAGTGTCTGTGAACCCAAGTTGAAGCAGGACATTCTTCATTGTGTCAAACCAAGGCTCTAGAAGCCTGTTTTAAGCCATAGAGAGCTTTGGACAATTTACACGCCATGTTATCATTCCCTTGCTCAAAACCAACTGCTGCTTCATGTAGATATCCTCAGTCAAGTTGCCCATCAAGAAATTCATTATTAATGTCCAAGTGCCTCACTTGCCAGGAGTAGGTGACAACCAATGATAGCATGACTCTAATAGTGATAGGCTTAACAACAGGGCTAAAGGTTTCAAAGAAATCTAAACCAGCTGATTGAGAGAAACCCTGAGCAACAAGCCTTGCTTTTAACCTTGAGATATTGCCATCTACATCCCTTTTGACCTTGAAGACCCATTTACAGCCAATTAGATTTTTGCCACGAGGCAATGTGGTGAGAACCCATGTACCATTGGATAATGAGGCCTGATATTCATCAAGCATGGCAGCCTTTCATTGAGGAGATTGAAGAGCAGCAGCAATGGTGGTAAGTTCACTGATATCATCCTTCTGAAGATTGTATAGCTTTGGCTTGTATATACCTGCTTTAGATCTAGTAATCATATGGTGCGTAGGATGAGAAACATCAATATGATCAGAAAAAATATGTGGAACGATTGATGCATCACTCAATTCTGGTAACTGAACAAAAATAGGGACAGTGGTATTAGTATGAGATGAGTGGGAGTTGTTTTGAGAGCTGGTTGGTGTGTGAGGTATAGGAGAAGGAGTGTGTGGCAAGGATAAGTTGTAATGTGAAGGAGGTTGATGAAGATTTTTGTGAGGGTTAGTGAAAACAATAGGTGGTGGTGAGGTGCTGAAATGACTAGAAGTCATTGGTTAAGATTGTAAAACAGTTTTATCAAGGTAAGGAAATTTTGTCTCATAAAAAATCACATCTCTGGACAATATGACTCTTCCATCCGAGAGGAATATTTTATAGCCTTTGTATTGGTTACTGTAAGCAATGAATGTTTTTGCCATAGATCTAAACTGCAGCTTATGTTTATTGAAAGGTCTAAGGACATGAAATGCTAGACATCCAAAAATCTTAAGTCTCTTGTAATCAGGTTTGTGATGGTAAAGAGTTTCAACTGGGGATTTATAGTCAAGGATTTTGGTGTGAAGTCTGTTAATAATGTACACAGAAGATATAAAAGCATCATCCCAAAAAGAAAAAAGGTAAACCACTTTGAGAAAGAAGGGAAAGACCAGTTTTAACAACGTGCATATGTTTTCTTTCAGCTACCCCATTTTGCTGTGGTGTATAGGGACAAGAGACTCTATGAATGATCCCATTTTATTGAAGGTAACTAGTTAAGGCTCTATACTCACCTCCCCAATCAGTTTGAAGAATTTTAAGGGTAGTGATCAATTGGTTTACAGCAAGACTTTTAAAATGAAGAAATGTTTGTTTCACTTCAGATTTCTGTTTAAGCAAGTATAACCGTGTGTGTTTGCTGAATTGGTCAATTAAAGAAACATAGTAGTTGTTGGTATGGCTTATATATTAATAAAGGAAGGAGGCAGATTGATGCCAGCGAGCGTAGCAGAGTGAGCGGAGCGACCGAGCGAAGCGAGCGGAGCGGAGTATATTTGAAAGTGTTGTTGGATGTCTGATGTATGCCATGGTATGTACTCATCCTGATTTAGCTCATGTTGTTGGTCAAGTTTGCAAGTATATGTCTAGGCCGAATAAACAGCATTGGGAGGCAATCAAATGGATTTTCAGATATTTGAAAGGTACTGTGGGACATGGTATTGTGTTTGGAGATCAGTGGTTGGATCTTTTGGTTGTAGGATATGTGGATTCTGATTATGCTGGGGACTTGAATAATAGGAGATCTACCACTGGGTATGTCTTCACTTTTGGTGGAGGACTTATTTGTTGAAGGTCGAATACTCAGCCTATAGTTGCTCTATCTACAACTAAAGCTGAGTACATTGCTTTGGCTGAAGCGGCAAATGAAGCAGTGTGGCTTGCTGGATTGGTTAGAGAGTTGGGTATTCAGCAATGTGGAGTTCTATTATATTGTGACATTCAGAGTGCTATTCATTTGGCTAAAAATCAAATATATCATGCTTGGACGAAACATATTCACTACAAGAAAAACTGCATTTGGCGACGCTTATTTTTTTGTTTACTGACGCTTATTTTTTTCTGACATCAAATTTAGCAACACAACTCGCCAATAAGCGTCATTAATAAGCGTCGCCAAATGCAGTTTTTCTTGTAGTGATTGATGTGAGGTTCCACAAGATTATGGAATGGATTGCTTCTGGTGATATTCAGTTGGAGAAAGTTCATACTGAAGAGAATGCTGCTGATATGTTGACTAAGACTGTTACTTCTGACAAATTCAAGCATTGATTGGATTTGTTGAATGTTTCTGCATGCTAGAGTTGCATGGTACCCCCGGTCTGCTTGCTGTATCTCGTAGAGGTGCTCGCTATTGTGTTCTCCTAAGGAGGTGATATATTCGCCAAGGTGGAGATTTGTTGGTATGGCTTATATATTGACAAAAGAAGGAGGCAGGCCGATGCCCGTGGTACGGTATAGGTTATTTAAGTAAATTTATACCTTGTAGGATTATCATATAAATACATGGTCTATTGATGTATTGAGATATTCATAAAAAAAAAAGGATATCGCTCTGCCGCCGTGGATGTAGGCACATTTTCGAACCACGTAAATCTTGTGTTGTTTACTTTCTCGTTTTTAATTCGCATGCCATATTGTCATCTTTGCACAACAGTAGTGAAAGCCATTTCTTGACTTCATGGGTGCAGGTCTCCATAAGTATGAATGTACAAGTTCAAGAGGTTTGTTACAAGCAGTTTCTGAAATAGCAAAGGGCAATCTGTGAATTTTAGACAAAGCGCAAGAAGAACAAACAACATCTCTTTTCATTTCATAAGCAAGGTTACAACTTCTGTAAGCTTTGAGAATTACATCATAACTAGAATTCCCTAGTCTATGATGCCAAACATCTAAACTAGGAACATCTTTTAGGGAAATGGATAAAACTGCAGAATTGAAAGACTGGTGAAGGCTTCTAGTGGATTGATTCGATTTGCTCTTATTTCTGGTAGGCTGAAGCTTGAACTGATAAAGGCCATCTCTAAGAACTCACTTGAGTAAAATGTCCTGAGTTACTTGATCCTTGACAAGACAAAACAAAGGATGGAATTCAAAAAAGACATTGTTATCATGGGCAAAATGTGATACACTGATAATATTTTAAGTAACTGAGGGTATGTGAAGAAGGTTTTTAAGGATAAAAGCTTTCGTATGAGATTTAAAGCGACTGTTACCATAATGAGCAATGCACAAACCTGCTCCATTCACCATCTGAACTTTGTTGTTTCTCAGATACTCTATAGGTGCTTGAATGATGTTGAGGTCATTTGGCACATGGTTTGATGCACCTGTGTCAGGATACCAGTTCATCTCTGAGGTTAGGTCTTGAACTGAAGCAGTGGAGCTTGGAGCTTGCATTATATTTAGAGCAGGATGATGATGTTGTCTTATCATGTTGCTGTGACTGGTATTTGACTAGTTTTGTGCATGGTTAGAACCATAGTTTTGATCAAACATGTACCAGCATCTATCAGCTGTATGACCTCCAACATGGCACACTTGGCAAGTGGGTTTGTTTGAGCCATATCTTCCTCCTCTTCCTCTATAGCCACCTCTGCCATTTTTGTTTCCTCTTCCTCTAAAGTTTTGATTGTTATCTCTGAAGTTGTTGAATCTTTCTTGTGAAGACTGAGTGACAGAATTGACAGTGGGTCGAGATTCTTCATTGTTAAAGGTGACTGCTTGAGTGGCCTCAAGCCTTGACTCATATCTGAGTAGCAAAGCCTCAACATCTCCTTTGCCAAAAGCTCTGGCCTTGAGGTAACATTAACCATCACTGGGTTGTATTCAGAGCCTAAACCAGCTAAAATGTGGAGGATCTGGTCTGAGGAGGAAACCATGCTACCAGCGGATGCTAGAACATCAAAGCATGACTATCTTGTTGAGGTATTCCCTCATGGACATCCCTCCTTTCTTTAGGGTTTGAAGCTGCACTTGTAATGCATTTGCTTTGCCAAAGAATGGCTTGAGAAATTGGTTTCAAGGGACTTCCAGATCTCGTAGGATGAGTTGAGACCAACAGTAAGGATGAGATTGCTCTCTGATAGAGATTACAGGAGCCATGAGGCTAGGAGCTGATCCTGCCTTGTCCAGCTTAAGAAATATGGGTTCACAACCTCTTGATTGTTGTCATTGAGGATGAATTTTGAGGGAGCTTGGTTGTATCTTGTGATGTAGCCCTCTAAGCCATAACCTCTGATGGTAGTGAAGACCTGTTGCTTCTAGATGAGATAATTTTTCTCATCGAGCTTAATTGTGACAAGCTGATTTTGAGGTTGTATTATTTGGATCTGAGGATTTTGGCCATTTGGTCCATTTCCTCTAGTTGCAGATCCGAAATCAGATTGTTGGGACATAGTGACCTTAGATAGTGATGTGACTGGCTAAGGAAAAGGAGTATGGCTCAGAGACAGGTCAAAACCTGCTTTGATACCATGTCAAAATGAGATAAAAAATGCATAAATGCTATGAAAGCTGATAAAGACATGATACTGCAAATACTTCCTTCATTAATTTTCTTGCTGCAACAATGCCAGGCTCATACACATATATAGCTAACTTCCAAACCTACTAGGTTAAAACAAATTCATCTATTCTTATCTAAAAGGGAAAAGGCCAAATGGTACAAGAAAGGTAAAACGACTCCCTCTCTCTTCCTCACAGCGGCATGCATGCTTGTCTTCATGCACACGTCAGAATATGATCCAATGGCTGTGAGCTTTCTATTGGTTTGATTATGATCTGATGGCTGAGATGAATGCATGGAGGATGGAGCTTGTACCTTCTCTTTATGCTTGTTTTCATCGTCTTGATCAAGGGCTAGGATTGAAGTTGATGTATGAAATTGATTTCCAACAAGAAGTAACATTTATAATACATATGTATATTTTTCATACTCAAATGACGTAGTTGAAAAAAATAATATAAAAATTATGACACTATTCACTATAAGTATGTTTGTAAGCGTCATAAGCATACTTATATAAGTGTTCTTTGTTCAAATAAATTTGATTTGATAAAATGGTTCTTTTTTAAAAAAAAAAATGGAGCTTATCTCATCAGTTTATGAAGATAGTTTTTCAATAATGTTCGTTGCTAGCTAATCAGCTAATTACCAAACATTTTTATTGTACCAATTAGAATTTCAGCCATGAACCATAAAATTATAAGCGTTGACTCAAAATTCAACTACGATTTACCAAACATAATGTAAGTTGGGAAATTTCGTTTCGAGATTCTAATTTTTGGAATGTACTAATTTAAGGACTGATTTATTCTTTCCTATTATTCTCAATTCAAGGCTCGTCTTTTTATTTAACTTCTCAATGTAATGTCAACCTACCTTTACTTTTTGACATAAATATGTGAATCAATTATTTTATGATATAATTAATTTGAAATTACTTGTGTAATTTATATTTTACATACTTATAATAAAATATACAAAATATATTTAGTAACATTACCTTAATAAAAAATGAATACATATAATTACAATTATAAAAAAAAGTTTAATTAAGATTATCTTATGATATAATTATTTGAATCTACTTTGTGTAATTTACATTTTACATACTGATAATAAAAAAATATATTTAATAATGTTGCCTTGATAAAAAAAAATGAATCTATATGAATTACATTTAAGAAAAATTATAATAAAGATTATTTTCAAAAATTGATAAGTGGATTTGGAAAATATATAATTGAATAATATTTGTATTAATAGCCTTGATATGTAATAAATGTAAGATATAAAATTATATTAATAATCTTAATACAGTTTTCAATTTCCTTTTTTATTACTTCACTTTTTAATGTTCTATTTTTATTACATATTTTGATTTATTTTTAATTTTATCACATATTTAGAATATCAATTATGTAGTATTTTTAAATTCTCTTATTAACTTTATGAAAATGGAATTTGTTAAACATTTGCATAAATATAACTCATATTGATTAGTTTTCTCATTTAGGTTTATTGTTAAATAAAGTAAATATTTTAACATAAATATGTAAAATATAGATAATGAAATATAATATTATAGTTCGCATATTATGTCAAAAATTAAAGT